AAGTCAAATATTAGATAAACCAATTCCATCAAAAATTAGCGAAGTTTTAAATATTTCAGGACGTATTAGTAAGTTATTATTTTTGTTATATGTACATATATTTATATCCATATTTGTATTTATATGTAACTATTTAAAATGGTTACCTTACACAGTAATAAAATTGTATCCATTTAAAATAAATCTTTTGTTTCTGATTTTGTACAAATATATCTTAAACATTAAATTTGTTTACGTCACAAAGGTAATTAAAATAAAATAACTACTTTTAATAAATAAATAAATTAATTTAATGTTTCCGATACTTTTGCCTTTCCCTTGTAAAATGTAACTATTGAAAACATATTGAGAATATCAATTTATTAAAGTAGAACGGTATGAATTTCTTGACATAAATCTATTCTTTTTATCATTTTACGTAAACATTAAATAATGAACTTAAATATTACTTAAATATAACTTATAACATAAATTAACTATGTAACTTATTATATAATGATCTACAAAATATTGTATTTTAATAGGTTGGAAGGAAAGCAATGTCGTATTCTCAATAGAGGACTTTAGTGTGTTCAAAAACAAAAAGAGAAAGTAAAAATAAATAAGTAACAACGATATTAATTTCCTTCAAACCAAATATTATAATATTCTCTCTCTCTTTCTCTTTCTCTCTCACGCACGCACGCACGCACGCGCGCGCGCACGCCGTTTTATTTTATAATTTTATTTTTGAAAATAATACATTTTACATTATATGATTATATTTATATTAATGCAATTATGTATTTCATATATATTACTTGATTCTTTCAAATCAAACAATTTCTGCTTCAAATTGCTTTTTCTATTTTTAATAATTAATAAAATTGATTGTATTGTGTATTAAATAATTTATTTTATATGTTTTAATATAATATCTACATATTATATATTTTGCAGTGCTGGAAGTTTATGTCAAATCAAATTTTGCAGAAATTTATGATTGTTAGGGAGTCGATCCCGACGGGATTGCCCTAATCTTTGAATGTCCTTCGATGACCTGCCCTTCTCCGCGTTTCGGAAATCTTGAAGGGCTTCTTGCTAGAAGCCCTCGCGAGTACGGAAATCTTGCGCATGGACGCCAGATGGTTTTTAGCGCGAGGCAGAGAACATGCGCGATGCGGTGAACGATCGGCGGCTCTCGAACTCCCCACTTACAATTTAACAATCTTCACTAACAAAAAAAGCGATTAAACGATTTAACCATAAAGAACTGATCGCCACGATAATATGATGCGATCGTTAGCGAGACACTTCGGTTTGAAATTGAATAGAACGCGAATTTGACTATGAGTAGCGTGACAAGACACGAGCGAGAATACGACACGAGATAATACTACACGAGAAATTATGATCGATTGCTATCGATCAGCTCGAATCGTCGTTAGCGGCAGACTAACTAGCGACCGTTAAGACTCGCGATCGCCCGATTTCCATAATAGGATATTTTCGGCACCGAACGTTTGAGAATCTAAGTGTTTGTCACAGTTTTTCTTTGTTTGCATCACGCGATCACGCTCCGATCAACTGAACGCGACAATGTTTATTCTCGCTCGTGTTTTGATTTCGGCTCTTACCGTTCAGATTTGTCAATTGAATTTACCGTTTAAATTTATCAACTAAATTTAACGTTTCAATCTTGAACATACCGCCCGCCTTGAAAGATAGTTCCGAAATAATTGATACGACAGTTGCATTGAACGACAAGAGCGCACGCCACAATTAACGACATAAGGAAGAATGACTATTATTTACGCGATATGATTTAACATCTTGAATTTGCCGCCCGCCTTGGCGGAATGACGCTCGCATCTTGACAATTTTGAGCTTAAGTCTAATGAATTACCGTAAATGAAACGCAACGCAGCGAAGGTGCCTAATTGCTCCTCGCCTCACTCTTGACCGGTAATGCGCACAGTTTGACAATCGGTCTTTTGAATTCAGAGGTGGCCGTTTTTACGGTGACGACCCGTACAAAGCTGTCGGACCCGGGATGACAATGCGTCACTCGGCCAAGTTCCCATTTGCAGGGAGGAAGTGTCGGATTTCGCAGGAGAACGAGTTGTCCGGTTTCGATTTGCGGTTTTACCTTTCGCCATTTTGCTCGTTGTTGTAACGTGTTTACATAATCGTTGCTCCATACTTTCCAAAATCGTTCGATGATGTGACGGACAAGTTGCCACCTCAAAAGACGATTTTCACTGAGATCGAGCAATGATGGTTCCGGGTTAACAGTAAGCGCGGATCCGATTAAAAGGTGACCAGGAGTGAGACACTCGTAGTCCTCAAGAGTGTCAGAGAGAGGCGCAATCAGCCGAGAATTAAGACAGGCTTCTATTCTATACAGCAGGGTAGTGAATTTCTCGAATGTTAGCGTGTGATTACCGAGAACGCGGCGTAAATGATTTTTGACGCTCCGTACACCCACTTCCCATAATCCGCCGAAATGTGGTGCAGACGGAGGTATAAAGTTCCGCGTGACATTATCGGAAGCTGTTGTATTCAAAAATTTCGGATCTCGTAATGCTGCTCGGTAAGCTATTGATAATTCTCGGTCGGCGCCGACGAATATTGTCCCGTGGTCCGAGTACATAAATTGCGGTAGCCCGCGACGGTAGCGCAAAAGCGAGAATATGCGTTTAAAAAGGCGGGCGTGGAATAATCTCCCACTAACTCTAAATGTATTGCATTCGTTGCTGATAAAGAGCGCAATGTAAGCTTTGCGTAATACCTCGTTCTGCCGAGGCGCGAATTTGCACGGGTCCTGCGTAGTCGAGGCCGCAATGAGAAAAACAGCGAGTGCTTGCCGACAATCGTGGTTCGGGTAGATCCCCCATGATTTGTGTAGAAATCGCGGCTCGCTCGCGAACGAATGAGTCTCGATTGCGCACATTACCGATCGGACACGACAATATTTCCCAATCGGACACAGATCCAATCGGACACAGGCTCGATCGGACACAGACCCGATTGGACACAATTCCGATCGGACACATACTGTTGCAATCGGACACAGTCCCAATCGGACACATATGGTTGCAATCGGACACAGGCCCGATCGGACACATATGGTTGCAATCGGACACCATCCCGATCGGACACAGTTCCGATCGGTAATGTGCGCAATCGGGACGATCCCTCGCGAACGCACGTGACACAATTATGAATGACAGATTTGACGATATTGCTCGCGCGAATTATTCAGAAGTCGCGGCGCAGAGTATTTAGCGTGAGTTGCGGTCCGGCATGCAACGCTCGTAAATGAGCGTGATGCACGATCAATGTGACTAGCGGATAAGAGGAGAGAAGGATCGGATGTCGAACCGGCATTGGTAACGGGGCTTTGTTAAGCCATTCACCCACGCGCAGAATCCCGTCCCGATCAAGGAACGGTCGAAGAGAGAGAATTGAGCTTCTCGACGAGAGACTCTGGTTTTTGGATAAAGAATTTATTTCCGACGGAAATAAGGTGCTTTTAATTGTCTTGATCCAGAACGTTTTTGCGAGATTGCAATTTGATGCAGAAAGCGAAGCATTTTGTGATATCGGAAAATGAGACGACATAGACGAAAGCCACGATGAGTCTATGTCACGACAGGAGCGATTACGACGACAAATATTTACGAATTTATTGATATACGCGGTGACGCGAATTAGTTTTGGCCACGATAAATATTTCGAAGCGAAGTCCCAAGTAAAGTGCGGTTGAGAGCATTGCAGCGAATTAACCTTTTCTTCAAGAGGCGCTTCCTTGCGAAGACGCGCATTGCTACACGGCCATTTATCGAAATCGAAGAGCAGCCATGGAGGACCATGCCACCATAGCTTGCGATTGATAATTTCATCGCCAAATATTCCGCACAAATTGCAATCCCTGGGGTTGTCCTCCGTTGGCACATGCCGCCATTCGGCGTCTGGAAGACGAGTCTGAATGTCATTAACGCGATTTGCGACGAAGGTCTTCCATTCGTACGGAAGTTGACTGACCCACGCGAGCATGATCGTGGAATCTGTCTAGCAATAACACGGAAGATCCTTGTAATCGTTTGATCCGCGAACGAACTCGACAAGGCCTGAGAGTAATACGGCTGCGGATAATTCCAACCGTGGTATGCTTAGAGCTTTTAACGGCACGACCTTTGATTTACCAACGAGCAGGGTTGTCGTGATTTGACCCGATGACGAAATAATTTTGATATAAACACATTCGGTATACGCATGCGTAGATGCGTCCGCAAATCCGTGTATTTCGGCGTGACTTGTATCCGATCCAGCGTATTATTCGCAACTTACTGAGATGTGAGAGCCGAGAATAGATTTCTCTCCACTTTGCGATATGTGGCTCAGAAATATCGTCATCTCAGGCGACTTTTATTCGCCAGAGTTGCTGCATAAAAATCTTCGCTGTAATCGTGACAGGAGTGACCCACCCGAGCGGATCGTAGAATTTTGCGATCGCGGATAAGATCGTACGCTTGCTTTTTGGAGCGTTATCCGCCAGTGACACGCGAAATTCGAAAATATCATTTGCCAGATTTCACCCGATTCCGAGGATTTTGATTTGTTCGTCTTCAGCCAGAGGTTTTTTCGTGGCTAGACCGTGATCTGGGATTTCGATATCCTCGAAAAGAAAGGGCGAGTTGCTTGCCCATTTCTGTAATACGAATCCGCCGCGCTTTAACATTGAGTTTAATTGATCGTGCGCTTGCCGAATTCGAATTGTATCGTCAGCTCCGAAAAGTAAGTCGTCGACATAAATATTATCGCTCAGGATAGGAACTGCGAGCGGAAAGTGCTGACCTTCGTCGATGACGAGTTGTTTTTAATACCCGAAGGGCTAGAAACGGAGCACACGACATTCCATATGAAACAGTTAATAGTTGATAATAGATGAGCGGTTCCGAGAGCGATGATGTCCACAAGATCCGTTGATAGTCAATATCACGCGCATCGATGCGAATCTAGCGATACATTTTCACGATATCGGATGAATAGACGTATTTATATCTGCGCCATTGTAGGATGACTAACATTAGATCGGTTTGTAATTTCGGCCCGGCGTTTAAATGATCATTTAAAGATGTGCTGTTAGAAGTAACGCTCGATGCGTTGAAAACAACGCGAAGACGCGTGGTAGAGCTACTTTCCCGGATAACCCCGTGATGTGGGAGATAAACATGTTGTTCGATTTGACTTTGAGCTGTCGGCGCGGGCCGCATATGCCCAAGCCGTTGATAATCAGACATGAATTCGCGATATTTTTTCGCGACTTCCGGTTTGTTGCGAACTCTGCAGAGTGATGCCTTTAGCAATTTTTCCGCGCAAAGCCTTGAATGTCCGATTTCGATCGGAGGACCCTTCTTGAACGGTAGTCGCACGATATACCGTCCGTCAGAATCGCGAGAGTGAGTTGAGCGAAAATGCTCTTCACACTGCTTGTCTTGCGATGTGAGATGAGTTTGTCGTGGGAGTTCTTCGACCTCCCCGAATCGCCGAAATTCCTCTTCGAGCGGAGAGCCGATAATATGATGTGTCGAAACGCGACTGAGAGCGCAGTTTCCGGAAAGAATTGTCGGCAACGAGGGATCATTAGTTAGTGATGACGTAATAGGTCCCGAAATTATCCATCCGAGGATGGAATTCTGAGCGATAGGCTGTCCGACGCCTCCTTTGCGAACACCGTCGAGAATTATATCGTTGTAGAGGTCTGCGGCGATAATGAGATTGATAGGATCGGGACTCGTCGGATCCGCGTCTGCTCGCGGCAAATCAGAGAGATAAGAGAGTGACGAGATGTCCGCGTTCCGTTTCGGAGTATACGAAGTTAACGATTTTAATATGAGCGCGGTGGTCGAAAGCGAGAGATTCCCGAGCGGAAATAGAGATATGTGTCGCGTGTGGAAACGTCCCCGCGTGAATACCGCCGACGGCCGAAACGGAGATCGGCATACGAATTCGTTTTACGAGCAGAATTTGTGCTAAATTCTCGGACATGAATGTCATTACCGAGCCCTGATCAAGCAGTGCTCTGACGATACCAGTACGACCGAACGAACTACGTACCGTAATCCAGGCCGTCGCTAGTAGAACGGGTGAGCGACTTCGCGTTACGGTTGAGGCGTTTAGCAAAGAACCCCGCACTAATCATATGGAAAATCTGTCCCGGTCAAATCAATTGGTTTTTACATATGTTGTAGCTTATGACCTACTGAACAAAAGATGTAATGGGCACAAAGCTCAATAATGGACAGTTATCGAGTTATAACCAGTCAAACATGAAAAATTCGGGCTGCCGAATAGTCAAATCTCGGAAGGTATTGATTTTTTTGAAAAATGTTTAAAACAAACATAGTAGGTTTTTACAAAAACTTTTAGTTGGTGACATTATTTGTGAATTTTGAATGACCTTGAAAAGCTCCGTGAACAAAAATCTTTATGTGTCACAGCAGAGATAAGGACCCCACGGTTCGTCACTCCCGTAGTATTTTTTGACTCCAAACCCTCTCTGCTGTGTGTGTATGTGTGTGTGTGTATGTGTGGGGTAATAAAATAAATGATCTTATTGTATATTACTCATTATTTGGATCCTGCTGTGGTGGTCTCTGAGCGGCATCTAATATTGTGTTCAATAATGATGAAGAGGGATAACGAACATTGGGCTGGTGTCGTGCATATCCTAAATACCACAATACGCTGGTTACATGTGCACATGTACTCACAGTCCGTGCGCCTGACTTACAGGTGCAGTAATAACCAAAAATCTCCTCCCTCTCATCATCTATATTATCTGCATCTGTTATGTTGTAAGCTATAAATATTTGATGTTTTGTAGCATTACGGAATCGTGAAAACACTCGCACCCTTATGAAACCTTGTTCATCAAACAACGAATCCAATTGAAATTCTTCTTGTGCATCACGCTGCATCTTATCTTGAATATAAGATCTTGCTAGACGAACCTGAAATGTACCAATAGTCAAATCTCGTAAATATTCTAATGTTAGGCGTGGAAAGTCACGTAACTGTCCTTCATGTAAATGTATCCATTGTGCATTTCTATAGCACATCCTTTCTACTTCAACTCGCGCTTGAACAATATTAACCTCTCTAGATTTATCAAGAAGTTCTCTTGCTAATCCTGCATTAGCTTCTTCCATTAAAACTAAAGGATGATATCTATTAATTATAGCACCTGCAATGTCATAAAACTCGCCCAAGTGATGAAAATAAGGCATTATAATTTTATGATCAAAAAACTTGAACATAGACTTGATATGTCCATTTCTAGTTTCAATTATCCACCTTGTTTTTGTCACCAATCGAGACTCATTAGCTCCTTCAGTGAATAATTGTTTCTGTTGAGGTCCAAGAAAAGCTGGCATTTTATACTCAATGCCTAATTCACGAAGTAATGGCTGAGCATCTCGATATCCACGATCTAATATAAAAATGTCACTATCATGAAACCATTCTCTCATATTGTCCGCATCACGTTGAAATTCATTATTTAATATTCGAGCATCATTGTTACGAGAATCAGAAAAGTAAGGACCCTGAATAGCCAGTATATACCCATCTGGAGCAACTATAAGAGAAGGTTTTATCAGATGTCGACCTTTTTGCATTGAGTATGTTTGTCGTAAAACACGAAAGTTGCTACTTTTATGAGTATAAGAATAAGTCCCGTCAATATAAGCAATTACTTTCGGAATAGCTAGCTCAGAATTATATAATTCGTTTGCAAAAGGTGTTACATGTCTCATTATATACTCTTCTCGAGTTATAGCTTGAAAACCAATATTATCAGGGACAAATCTGTTTACTAAAGACTGCCGAACTTTGGAAATCGCTAAACTCACTGCTTGTCTAGAGGAATACTGAAACAGTACTTTAAGAAATTCGTCAGACAGTCCTTGTCGCAGCTTGCATAAAAAAATTAAAAGATCTTTTTTAGTAACGTTTCTGATACCACGTTCTTGGAATATAGGATCGTAATATGTATACAATTCTTGAAACTGTTGTTTTGTAATGGGTGCTATACATTTAAATTCATCCTCTGTAAAACTATTTTCGTTTTCATAACGATTATTATTATTTGCTATATTACGAAGAGCTTCTAAGAAAACTTGCAGTTGCTGACCTTTTATTACATATGGTCTATAAATAAATCGCAAACCTGGCAGCAGTAACTGTAAAATAAATCCGCGATCATCCAAATGTTGGTCACAACAATAAACGTGTTCAGGAATATAAATATTTTTCAGAACAAAGACATACCCTGGATTCTAACGACAGTGGTCTAATATTTACAATAGCATTGCAAAATAAACAAGAATTATTTCGGGTTTGGGTAATAACGTTGAGTCGTAGGCAAGTCGGATCAAGTTCTATCTGTTTTATTTAATGTACAATAGATACATTGCAATTAAAACATAATCGGCTTTCATTGTCTATATCAATGGGCTCCTTACCCAGCCCAGTTCGCCTAAAAACAGCGATTTGTTTTTTAATTGCATCATTATCGCATTGATTCGTACCATTTGTCGAGCTTGAAAAGCACGATCGCAAACGTAACAATGGATTCCATGTCTGTAAGCCATGATAATATTTTATTATTGAATTGCGTAGCAATATCAGATTGATTAGATATTAAAAACTTTTCTGGTGAAATAATTCCTGAGACCAAAATGAACAGAATACACTGATATCAATAATATCAATATCGGACGTAGCAATGCCAGAAAGTAATAGCATTCGGCAGCAATAACGCTAGAATAGATACGCTTAGTGATGACAATGCCTGCGCTAGCAATATCAACCAATATGATTTCTCACAGATTGCAGATAGAGTATACAGTATACCGCCCGCAGTGTAGCAGTGGGGATGAGTCGCCTGACGGCTCTAGCTGTACGAATCGAGCGCTCTACACATAACTCTACGCTCATAACCAGAGATGGTAAATCGTGTATATTAATTCTCAAGATGTTTTAGTAGAAAAAAGGTTCATCAAAAATATTTTGAAAACGTCTCGAATTTAGCTACACGAATATAATAAAAAATAGGCATTTTTGTGGAAGATTTTTGTTCACGGAGCTTTTCAAGGTCATTCAAAATTCACAAATAATGTCACCAACTAACAGATTTTGTAAAACCCTACTATGTGTGTGTTTGTTTCAAACATTTTTCAAAAAAATCAATATCTTCCGAGATTTGACTATTCGGCAGTCCGAATTTTTCATGTTTGACTGGTTATAATTCGATAACTGTCCATTATTGAGCTTTGTGCCCATTACATCTTTTGTTCAGTAGGTCATAAGCTACAACATATGTAAAAACCAATTGATTTGACCGGGACAGATTTTCCATATGATTAGTGCGGGGTTCTTTACCTCCGGAGTCGAATCTGACGCTTGAGGCGACGAGCAATTAGGCGGTGCAGTTTTCAATGCACTTGAGCCAGAATCCGAGTCAACGTGTAGCATCGAATGATGCTTTTTGTGGCAAACCCGACATGAATATTTACTTCGACATTCCTGTGCGGAATGCTTCGCGCTTAAGCAATTGAAACAACGTTTATGCTGCTTAATGATATCCCGATGCTGACTCCATTCTTGCTTACGAACGCAGGGCATATATTAATTATATGTCGAGCTTGACACAACGAACACTGAGATTGTGCGCTAGCGGATGCGGTGGCGGAATAGACGCGCAAGGCTGCAACGGGTTTCGTAGTGTTCTTGGAGCTTGAGGTTGTAGCATATTCTTCGAGCGCGCGAGTACGAGATTGAAGAAAACGAAGGAAATCCTCGTACGACTGCGGAGCGTCGGTATCGCTTGCTTTCACGTTCCATGCTTTTCGCGTTACCGGATCTAATTTTTGCACGATAAGGTGAACGAAAATATCGTTCCAGAGTTCCTCCGGCTTTCGATTCAGATTTTTTAAAGACGCTACCGCGATATTGACTTTGTCACATAATGTTTGCAGCTTGGAAGCAGACTCGCGCGTTATCGGTGATAAGATAAGCAATGTCGAAAGATGTGTGTTTATCGACCGTCGTTTGCTTTCGTACCGCGAGGTCAAAGCTTTCTATGCGATTTCAAAATTAGCAGCGGTTACAGAAATAGTCGCTATACATTCTAACGCACGACCTTTTAGACAAGATGATAAGAAATGCATACGCGCAAAGTCAATTAGATCGGTATTGTTGCGAATTAGCGTAGTAAATCGATCGCGAAACTGTTCCCATTCGTCATAATTACCGTCAAACGGAGGTAATTTAATGGGCGGAAGATGCGATACAGAAAACGCGGACGCGTCCGCGTGCAGCCTCATCGAGGAAAAAGATTGATTTAGACTCACGACCAGCTCCAATTCCTCCAAACTCTCCGCCTTGTAGTCCAGAGCATTTTGATAGACTGCGTAGGTCGCGTCGAAGTGATTTTCCTTGAAGTAGGTGAAAGACGACCTAGTTAATTCCGGGATTTTCTGTGACAGTTCTGTATGTCCGTTGAAATATTGAATCCAGATCTTTTCGAGCTGTGAAATCCTGGAACGCACCTTAGCTGGTGTTAGATTGTTCCTTCCAATTTTTTTGAAGTTCTCGAGATAGCGTTCGATTGTATATTGAAGTTGCTGTTGAGGTACGAAGTGCTCCGACATAGTGGATGTATCAGAATATCACACACTCGCGAACTTATCCTCCACACACTCTTCTATCCGGCTCGAAGGACCAATATGTTCGGGAGTCAATCCCGACGGGATCGCCCTAATGTTTGAGATATGCTCAGAGTTGAGCGAGAAGCAACGTGTAGCGCGAATCCGTAGATTCGCTGGAATAGGAGGAATAGGAGTTGAGAGATTACTCACGTGAGCGTAGTTTTAAGAACGTTTATTAGAAAACAACAATAAATAAAAATAGGCTCGTTATATTTTAAACAAAACAATAAATAAATAAGGCCTATACAAGCAAATTATGGATGGAATATTTTATTTTTTAAATAC